AAGAGTCCACTTACTCTGCTGTGCTGGCTACCTGCACCGCTGGGCACAGGTGGATAGGACAGCTGCTGCCAGAGTGGTACTCCCCCTACTATATAGGTCAGTGGGGAGTTCACTGGAACCAGATTGTATCAAGGTGGAAGTAGGGATCCCAGAGTTGCAGTCTTTCCTATCCTGCTCCCTGGGGTGGTAAAGCTGTGCTCTGATTCTTACTCATTCTGGGTTTTAACCATACAATTGATCCTAATTAACTAGTTGTTCTTTGGAGGGCTTTTAAGGCTTGTTTGTTTAAAAAATAATAAAAATTAGGGCTGTCAATTAATCCTAGTTAACTCCAGGAATTAATGAAAAAAAATAACCTAGATTTTAAAAAAAGTAGTGATTAATCACACTGTTACATTTAAATTGGTATTCTATTATTGTTTGTTATAAATACTTTCGGATTTTTTTCATTTTCAAATATATTGATTTCTATTACAACACAGAATATAAAGTGTTCAGTGCTCACTTCGTATCTATTTTTGATGACTAATATTTGTATTGTAAAAGTAAATGAAAGAAATAGTATTTTTCAGTTCACCTTATTCAAGTTCTGAGATGCAGTCTCTTTATCATGAAAGTGCAATTTACAAATGTAGAATTATTATGCTTTATTTCTGAGTGCAGTTATGTGAAAAAAAATATAAAACTTTAGCGCCTACAAGTCCACTCGAGCCTACTTCTTGTTCAACCAATCATTAAGACAAACAAGCTTGCTTAGATTTATGGGAGATGATGCTGCTGGCGTATTTACGTCACCAGAAAGTGAGACTGGACGGTTGCATGGCACTGTTGTAGCTAGCATTGCAAGGTATTTACATGCCAGATATGCTAAACATTCACATACTTCTTCATGCTTCAATTTGTAGATTTTTATCTTTTTTACAGTGCAAATATTTGTAATCAAAAATAGTATCACGTGAGCACTGTACACTTTTTGTATTGTGTTGTAATTGAAATCAATATATTTGAAAATGTAGAAAAACATCCAAAATATTGTAATTTAAATTGGCATTCTTTTATTCCTTAATGGTGCAATTAAAATTGTGATTAATTACATCTTGTTTTAATCTCATGATTAAATGTGATTTTTTTTAATTGTTTGACGGTTCTCATAAAAATACACCATTTGTGCATAAATGAAATCCAAGAAAAATTTTTTTTATTCTGTTTCTTTTTTTAAAATTCTGTTTTTAAACTGGCATTCAATCACTGTTTGTTTCATAAAGCTGATTTTTAAACAATGGTATCTGATAAAGTATTAGTCACAAGCCAATTGGTAAGAAACTTCCCACTGACTAATAAAGAGGGGGAATGCTCATTTTTAACACACTGCTATCCTATGGGGGTAAGAATATTGAGGCAAAATGAGTGAATTGCTTTACTCTGTGTACCAGACATAGTGTTTAGGTTTTAATAATGTTTCAGCTAGTTAAGGGGAAAACACATTCTGTCTGAATAAACTTTTTGGTAAAAGCTACAGAAGACTAAAAGATGAAGAGACTTGGTAAAAAGACGGAAGGAAACTGGTGAAGCAATTCATTCATACCTTGGTTCGGTCAGGGGTGAGTGTGCATGTGAGACATTGCCCTCTAGAGGTTGGCTGAAAGATAGGATATAGGGCTTGCTGATGCTACCACCATCAGCTGAAGAAGTGGAGTTTTCTCTCTTCCTCTCCACCCCCCCATTAGTTCTGAGTCCTGTGTAAATGGAACGGAAGGAGCAGAATTCTAGTCCCAGCTCTGTTGCGAGATTTATAGATGGACTGACTGCAGCACATCGGTTTGCTCCAGCAGTCGATGAGAGCAACCTTCTCCATAATAAGAAAAGGAGTACTTGTGGCACCTTAGAGACTAAGAAATTTATTTGAGCATAAGCTTTCATGAGCTGTAGCTCACAAAAGCTTACGCTCAAATAAATTTCTTAGTCTCTAAGGTGCCACAAGTCCTCCTTTCTTTTTGCGGATACAGACTAACACGGCTGCTACTCTGAAACTTCTCCATAATGAGCCCATTCCCTACAAGTGCAGGACATAGTTCCCAATGGAGGTCTTATTGGACAGTATTAAATACATTTGCATTAGCCAAATATGTCTTCATCCACCCAAGCCTGTGTATGCTACCCAAAGCAAGTGATAAAAATGATAGAGTATTGTATTCACTGGTTAAAAATCTTTAAACTGTTCCCTATTTCAGATCACAAGATCATGTTCTCTGTGTGTATGTGTGTGTGTGTGTATGTATATACACTTCCTACTGTATTTTCCACTGCATGCATCCGATGAAGTGGGTTTTAGCCCACGAAAGCTTATGCTCAAATAAATTTTAGTCTCTAAGGTGCCACAAGTACTCCGTTCTTTTTGCTGATACAGAGTAACATGGCTACCACTCTGAAAGGTGAAATGTGTTGCTGTTTGAGAGATTAATCTATCTGTTTTAAATATATCAGGTTTTTAGCTCTCTAAGTGCATAGGATTTAAAAAATTATGGTGCTCTTCAGATGATTGCTCTTAATTCTCAGTAAGATTCAATCTGTGTTTGAGCTTGTGTGTGGTTGGTTTGAGGGCATAGTATTTTGCCACAGTTAGGAAAATGAAGGTTCTGGAGAATCTCTGTTTCTGGGTTGGTGGAATCTGGTGGAGATGATTTGTGTTTCCAGAGGCCGCTGTTTGCAGATGTATTAATTCTGCAACCCCTCCGTGATAGAGAACTGTGTGGTATACTCATTTTCCTACCCAGTAAAAGGTAAAAACTTCATAGGTCCAAACTCATGCAAGGCTACAGTGTTGCAACTCCAGGCTGGTAAGGGAACCTCCTTTAAAAGGAACACTTGAATTGTGATAGTTAACACTAGTACTGAAGTTTAGGGATAGCTTTCCAACTTGCATGTACTTCATGCCATTTAAAAAAAAACTAGTTAAGGACATTTGAACATGGTTATTGTATGCACTTGCTTCACTGGAAAATTTATGAGTTGATCAAAAGTTGGTAGAAGTTCCAGAAAATATTAGTTTAAGGTGGCAGCTGTTGCTTAGGCATTTCAAGCCTATGAAATATGGGTTAGGAGGAGATGCACTTTTATTCTAATTGTGAAATTCCTATTCCAAGAAGTGATACTTTTTACTGTTCTTAATGTTCTATAACTTCCAGCACCCTGTGATTTAAGGGATATTATCCACATGGGGAACTGAATCCGAGAAATTAGGTGACTAGGCCAAGGCTGCTCAGGAAGTCTGTATCAGAGCTAGTGTTAAACTTAGGCATTTGGGGTCCCACTCTGGTGCCTTAACCACCCTCTGTTCCACCTCATGCTGACGTTTCCTATGAGGCTGTGATACTTAGTTGAAAAAACAGCATTCCCTTTTGAAGCAGAAAATGTTATACTCAAATTTGCAATGACAACAGTAATAAAAAGTTCGTGTTCTAGATCTAATTGTATGTTGGTGATGGCTGTTTGAGTGACTTTGGCTATTGCAAGACTCTTTTCAGATTTAATTATCCTAACTACACTGAGTTTTGCACTGGTACAACAATGGACTTTGAAAATGAACACTGGATTTAAAAAAAATGGAGCTAGCTCTTGAGATTTCTGAAGCTTATAACAGTCAGGTTGCAAAAGTATTTAAAATTATTCATTCCTGGGTGTATATATATTCAAACAGAGAAGATACACATTCCAAATTCAAGCTCTTGGTCTAGAAAAACTTGGCTAGAAAGCAATGTTCTGAATTCAGTAACAATAACAAAATGCTTTGTGTAAAAGCTTAAGTGTGGGTTCAGATTTTTGATGAACCATGTTTAACTTTGTTAGGCATTCCCATAAAGTCTGCACACAAAACACTATTTCTAAGTCCTATGTAAGAGATGGTGCACATTTTTAACACCACTTTAATCCTTAATTTTTGGGGGTGGGGGAAGCGAGAAGAATAGGATTAAGGAAACTCTCAGACAGGTTTAACCCTACTAAAATGTCTGTGCAGTGTTCCAGTACTCTAATTATTTTTCAAACTCATGGGAGCCTCTGCTATTGTCCCTGTAGTACTCGGCTGGAAATCCATTCTCTGAGGGATTGCAATGGTTATGCATAAACTTGTACATATAGGAAAAAGGTTTAAATCTGTAGTCTACTTATACAGCACCTAGCACAATAGGGCCCTGATCTGGTTAGCTTCTGAGCACCACCACAATGTAAATGTTTAATAGTAATTTTTAAATGTCCCTATCTGTGTTAATAATAACTTTACATTATTAAAAGAGAGTTTTAAAAATATTAGTCTTATTTTTGGCTTATTATTAGTCTTATTTCACTGAGCCTTGATGACTCAACAGAATCATTAAACTTATGGCCACTTTTGTTTCCTGGTTCTTACATGTAGGCTGCAGATGCAGTGGGAAGGATATTATTCCTTCCAAAAAAAAAAAAACCAACCACCCCACTTTCAGGGAGGGGGCAATTTGTAAAGTAAAATAAAATAAATATATAATATTTAAGTTTTTGGGGTCAACATTGGCAGGGTGTCCCTCTTAAAATTCTGCATATACATCCAGCATTGCAAAAGTTTAGCACAAATGCACTTCTGTGTTCTACTGTCCACTAATCAAGAAATCCATACAGCATCCTTTCACCCAATCAATTGAAGAAAAGACTGCCAACAATCACTTGGCATTTTCCTGGCCTTCTTTGTCCCTCAAGGCAGCCTCACTCTTTTATTCCCTAGCCTACAACTTCACAGCTGGTAAATTAGGTTTTCCCACAGCACTGTTAAGTGTCCCTGGTCCCCAATAACAAGGAAGTGTTCCCAACAAAGCTAATGAGCAAAAAGGAGGCTAGAGAGGGGTTTCTGGATTAATGTTATCAAGGGGAAATTTTAAGGTAGATGTGTGTGTTGGGTGGGGGTGTGTCAGTTTTTTTTTGTTGTTGTTGGTTTGTTTTTTTTATTGAAACATGTTTTGTTTCTTTAATAGAAGTTGGTGTCTTGGCAAAGCAGTATTTAGAGCAAGGCCTTTTGGTACCGGATCACGTCATCACCCGTGTCATGATGATGGAGCTGGAGAAAAAGCAGTCTCAGCATTGGCTACTTGACGGTCAGTAAACTGATGTGCATAATTTGGTATCATGGGTGCAATAATCTTGTATCCCTCTGTGCTGGTGGCTCGTTGGGGATTGAAAATCCCAGTCCTCGTCAACCTCTTGAAGTCTATTTCTTTGAATAAGACATTACTTTCCCAGGAACGATTTCACAGGAAAACAAATAAAACCAACCACAGCTTTTCAATATTTTTAGCAGCGAGGGAGGGGTGGAGGAGAAAGCAAAAACACTTCTGAGAGCTTTTAAGGACAGAGCTGTTCAGCTGGTCTCCTCTTAAAGACTCATGCTTCTGAAAATGAAACTCAGATCCTATTTGCACGAGATCACAGGTACTGAGGAAAGATTTTGTTAATTTAAGCAAGAGGTCAGAAGCTCCACTCAAGGTACTGTCACTCTAATGGAAGGGGTTTTACATCACCATCATGGTAGTCAGACAGCATGGAACAGTGCCTAGTATAGAGCAAACTGTTACAGAGCATGTCTGCAGTCACCATTCACCCTACAGCTCCCTTCTCCCCTGTGGGTTCTTCGTGTCCTTAACGGTCAGGTCTCTGTACCCAGTATCTGCAGTTTTCAAACTATGGGCTATGGCCACCAGAAATTCTGTGAACCTTGAGGGACTCTGTGTCACAGTTGTCTCTTAGCTCATGGGGGTGGGGAGGGACGAGAAGTCACTGCTGGTGACCCTCTGTGCAGAGAAAAGGCAGGGAGGGGTGAAGGGAAGATGTACAAGCCCCTAGCTTGTTCCCCTTCCTTCCGCTCCTGTGAGGAGTAGTGCGTGTGTGTCTGGCCAGTCTCCCATGGGAAGGTATGTCAGAATCCTTGACTTAGATCAGCTTTATGCAGCAAACAGTCTCTCACACTGCTGTTCCAAATCATGACATGGAGCAACTGGTACATGGGAGTGACTGGACACAAGCCAAGATAAATCACTTGCTGTTTCTTGTTCATAGACATGTGAAGTATCAACCACGCAACATGTATGCTAATCAGAACCCTTAAAAACACTTTGAACACGATTGCCTTTGTGTGTTTTTTTTTTGTTTGTTTTAAAAGCCTTCTTGGTTGTGAAGATGAATTTTTGTTCCTGCAAATAGTTGAGCCCCAAATTTTACACCCAGAATCAATTGTGGGAGCACTCAAATAGCGGGATGTCTAAATGCAACAAAACTAGAGGCCTTTTGTAAATGTCAGGCCTAAAATATGAATTTTTATCAGAGTGAGTGTAGTTTTAAAATCTGAGGTGCCCCTAGTCTCCACTGTTGCTTGCATTTAGTCTTTTATATGTTGCTCTAAATATTTGATTTTACTTACTAGTAGAGCAGTGGGCTTGAGTTTATGTGGATGTAAGGGGGTAAAATGAACGGGTTTTTTTGCAAAAGTTCCATTTCTTTCAATGAATCTTAGAAGAAACATTTCTGAGCATCTCTAACTTAAATGTAAAAAATGACTAATGGAGAGGCATTCAGACACCATGATAACGAGCACAGTATAAGCAATCACTTATTCATTTACATTATAATTAGGTGTTTATAAATGCATATGCTCGAGATTAGGGTCCACACTAGAACTGAACTCTGTTCAGAGCATTCCCTAGAGCAGAGATCGGCAGCCTTTGGCACGCAGCCTGCCAGGGTAAGCCCCCGGCACACCGGGTCGGTTTGTTTACCTGCCACGTCCACAGGTTCGGTTGATCGCTGCTCCCACTGGCTGCGGTTCACCACTCCAGGCCAATGGGGGCCGCAGGAAGCGGTGCGGCCCGAGGGATATGCTGGCCGCAACTTCCCACAGCCCCCATTGGCCTGGGACCGCGAACCGCAGCCAGTGGGAGCCGCAATCGGTTGAACCTTCGGACGCAGCAGGTAAACGCACCTTCGGATGTGGCAGGTAAACAAACCTTCCCGGCCTGCCGTGGGGCTTGCCCTGGCAGGCTGCGTGCCAAAGGCTGCCGATCTCTGCCCTAGAGAGATGACCTTTTCCGGTGGGCATAATCATTCAAACCCTATGATAGTTCCTTAATCTGGGAATCCCAGAATTTGGCCGTCATTAAACTAGAACTCAGACCTACGCCTCATTAATACAAGGGCACTGGAAGTTTATCATTTCTGTACTGAAATGTTGCTGTTCACGGAAAAGCAAATAAAGCATTGCCAGAACTCTCTGGGTTTTGATGCGCTCCTGTCTCTCCAAATAAAGCAACCAGTGTTAGCCCATGTTGCCATGAGGTGACTGGAATGGTTTGTGGTGCTTGTGTAAATGATCATCTTGTTTCCTTATGAAGGACACCAACGCTCTGAACTGCAGGCTCTTGTTTCTTTTGCAGTGGCTTTTGTTGACACTTAGAGATTTATGGACCCAGTCAAGGCTGCCGTACAAACATAAATTTAACTTTTTAAAATGCATATTGTGAGTCTCTCCTAGCTTCCTTCGGTGTCTTTCCTCTGCAGCTACCTTGTCTCTGTTGCTTCCCTTTCTTGTGCTCCTTCTCTGCTTGCATTAGCTGCACCCCAGAGGTTGATTTCAATCTCAAGTTCTTGTGCATCAGCTCCAGGCACTGAAATCCTGCTAGTCTATTTTGTTGTGTTGCTGGTGCAAACAAGTGACTGGAGGACAGATATGAGAGTGATCAAATCAATAAGAAAAGGAGTACTTGTGGCACTGTAGAGACTAACCAGTTTATTTGAGCATAAGCTTTCGTGAGCTACAGCTCATCGAATACAGACTAACACGGCTGCTACTCTGAAACAAATCAATAAGAATACCTGGATGGCTAGATCAAGCAACGCTGCTGCAAATGGAGGTGCAAAACTGTCCTATGGCCAGGTCCAGGCAGGAAAGAATGGGGGATGTATGTCTCCAGTATCCCATGTTGCCTCTGGCCTGGGGGATGCTAGAAAGTCCTGAGGCCCCTTCACAAAATCCATATGTTCCCAGTCTCTCCTTCCTTTTCTCTACTTTCTGCCTTTGTTGCTTTTTCACTTCTTCCACTAAAACACACACCCCTACCTGTGTGGCACCCACTTGCACATGTCAGAAAAGAGAGCATTTAAAGAGTCCGCTGTTCCCCTGGAGGGAGTAAATACATTGCCAAGTGCACAGGTCTTCCTGGGGTTTTAACTACCAATATAGCTTCCCGGGGAAGTAGGGACCAAGAGCAGTCATGCCATTAGTATGAGTATTGTGCTCACAAGGAGACGCCTCCTGAATGATTAAGTTCAGGCAGTAAGCTTTACAAAGACTGCAGTACACTGTGCAGCATATGGCTAGCCTGTGGAACCCCTCGCCACAGGAACTAGTGGAGGCAAAATAATGAGAAGAATTAAAGGGCTTAAACATATACATGACTTAATATAACTGAGGCAGCTCAGCCTATGACATCACAAAGGCCTTCAAGCAGCAGGGCTGAGATCCTAGCTTCCCTCCTTTCCCAGTCTATCCTTGGCACAAGTGCATCCTGGGGAGTGGACTCTCCTTGCCCTGTAGCATAAGTCACTGTACTCTAGGTAATCTGTCCTACTGGTGTTCTAGAATCGTCACAGCTCCTGGCTTTAAACACAGGTGTAGAGAGTAAGGGTGTGCACACAATATTTATGACTGTGTACGTTTAGGGTATTTCTGGGCTTCTGACTTTCACCACTTTGCCACAGTGCAACATTTTGACTTCCCTAGTCTGTGCTGTTGTGAGGGACCAAACAGCTGACTGGACTGTTTGGCTCAAAATGCCATCCTGGAGCAAATCACAAAACCAGACTTCCTTTTGGACTTCATGGGCTCTGCTGCTGCAAAACAGCCCTTAAGGTCTGAATGACCTTGGCCCTGGGATTTAACATGCCCTGTCTCTTTCTCTCTGCCCCCCTCCCCCAAAAAAGAAAGGAGCTCGCAGTGAAAATGTGCTCTGCAGAGCAGAAAAAACAGTTGGCGTTAGAGCAGGTGCAGGGAGCCGTTCTACAATTCGCTTTGTTTGGCGTAAAGGTGCGCTATTTTGTGTGTGTGTGTGTGTTCAATAAAAACTGACCGGAGTAAATGTCACTCTGTACCTGGAGAATACTAGCTCTGGTATGACATGGTGGTGCAGATTTGTTGCAGATCTGAGGTGCCCAGGGAGATAGATATTTATAATCGTTTTTTACTGCAGCATATCATTACTGCTTGGTGATCAGAGTAACAGGCTTTAGCATTCCCTCAGGCTGGGAGGGATAGCGCTACACAGTATTCCTTTGGGTTACAGGCAGAGATCCAAGATGAGGGGCAGCTGACTTCTTGTACATGTGGGAAGGTTTCTAGATCTGATGCATCCAGGTTCGGGTGTCAATGGCTGACCTCTCTGTAAATGTCAGGCATGGCTGGGGTTTATAACCTCAAATCATCCAGTGCTTGGTAACTGCTGGAGCATGGCACATAACTGTTTTTTTTGGAGGTACTTAGACTCTTGCCCTGCCATGGGGCAGTGTGTGTCTGTGGTGGTACTGAGCTTGGAGAAAACAATAAGAGGTTGTCCCTGTATGAGCAGGTGGGTGAAAGCCTGGCCTAGAATGACTGGGCTTAGTGACCCCAACAATGGAGGTAATTTTTCATTATACACAGTTTGCCCTCACTAGGTACCATTATCCTGGACAGTTGATTATTCTAAGCAAAATATGGCACCCCACGCTGCTCATCCTAAATTGATTGAAAGGCCCCATCTGTCCTCCAGAAATGTTTTCTCGCTGTTGGTGTCTGATACCCTGCCCCCTCCTTTGTGATATCTTTTGTAAGAATATGGGATGGGAGTTGGGATTTCAGGGAGTTGGTGATGGCTGTAGAAACCATCTCACTACAGTATCCTCCACACCCCTGGTTTTTAAAATATACATGCTGCTTAGTTTTGTACACTTGATTTAAGCCCTGAAGCATGGGATCTGATGGCTTCTCAACATGCTTCCTGGCTTTGCTTTTCAGTTAAGGATTTGTTTCATAATTCCAACCTTGTTTTTCCCACAGCCACATTACCATCCA